TTTAAGAATTTGGAAATTAAAAAAGCTAAAAAGACAAGAAATTAAACAATTAGAAGATAAAAAAGAAACAATTTCAAAAATTCTGAAATTCTGAAATTTTAAGATTATTTCAAAATTTCAAAATTATAAAATGTAAAAATTCAAAAATATCAAATCATCAAACACCACGCATTAATACGTTGCGTTCTAATCCGCAGTACAGAGTTGTGAAATAATACTCCAGAGTATAAGATGTGCTCGTAAACTAATAATCGATACGGCGAAGATAGGAAGCAAAGGTTCCTGAGTTCGTCGTTAGTTCGTGTACCAACGTTGAAAGAATAGGGAGCGGTGACATAATCAACTGTCGCTACAGGATCTTCGGCGTGTTGTTACGTTTTTGCTCGTTTCATACTAGCACATGATACAAACTTGGCGAGGAATCGTGAAAACATTAGAGAGAGACAGTAAGAGAGAGAGAGAGAGGGGGAGAGAGAGAGAGAGAGAGAGAGAGAGAGAGAAGTATGCATGCAGGAAGCCGCGTTTATACTCGTATTACACAGACAGTGGTTGGCGAACTGACGTACTGTAATTACCGTGGCAATTACTGCCGACACATTTCACGTATACGTTGTAGCCTCATTGTGCTGTTCCGTTGTGCGGCTCGAATTTTCGTGCCCGTCGACTCGCCAACTCGTTGGATAAACAGATAAAAGTAACCGAATAAGAGTTGAAGGCGCCCCGCTCCCCCTCCCCCGCACTCCTTTCGTTATAGCTGCAGATACTAGCGCCACGGGACGCGACGACTCTATCGGCGAACGGGGAATTAATTGCAACGGAAATGGCGTCCGCTTCTTGCCTTTTCATACCTCGTGGATTCTAATTATGTATCTTACCCGGTTTCAGTGAGTTAATCTGTTGGGAACTATAGCAGTTACAATAATAATATTTATGTCTGTGAATACAGTCATGTTAATTGCAAGGGTTCCTTGTCTTGTATTGTAGTTAACTTAACCTCTCTTTCCCGATAATCTAAAATATATTGTTATTAATTTCAATTAAGAGGCTGGATCTTATACTTCATTTACTTAATAGTGTGGTATTAAATCGTGTAAAAAATAGAATTTTTCTGAAGGAAACAGTTTTTAAGAACTATATTTTGTATTTGTAACACTCTGGGCATGATACTTCGTGTAATTTCATTCAGCTTTGCGGAAGTTTTGAGTTTACTATCTTTTGTATGTAGCGGTATGCGTTTAAGTCGAACTATGTCTGAGGGTATCGTTTTCAAAGGATTTTCTGGAGGCTTTTATTTCGAGTTGATAAAATTTTAAAAGAAAATTGCACGTTTTTTCAATTACTAAAATGGGAAAGTACAGTACACGGACGACAAGATAAAGATTGATGATATGGTTCCTCAGAAATATTATAATATGTATGACATAAAGCAAGAATTTTAACTGCATTGAAAATTTATATTTTCGATGTCATTTATATCAATTTATAACATACGAATATTAGAAAATTTAATATTTCTTCTAGGACTCTAACTGTAAGATAGCCCTGGTGTCGATCATTACTACTCTGAGATATTGTAGAATAACTGAAATGGTGATAACTATTTTAGTATAGTTGCGGTTTCGATCTTCTTGAAAGTTTAATAGACGCATGTATAACTAATGACGGGCTGAGTAACAGGATTAATCATGAACTGCAAAGAACGTTAATTTATTCATTTACTACGGAAACAAACATAACGGGTAACAAACCAAATTAAAATTAAAAGTAAACAAGGGATTTCGTCATAATTTCAGTTCTCAAAGCTCTTAATATATATATATAAAACATACTTCTCTTTCCAAAATAGAGTATAAAATTCTTTTATTCACTCATTATTAATTAAAGCGTTATAATGAAAATAAGAAAATAGACATATGTATTCTACGGTCTTATCTCAATAACAACCAATATTAATTTTATCAATAATCACCTATATATTTTCTGCCACTGTAGAAATGTAGAATTTCGAACATCTCAAACGGTATTTCCAGTGTTAATTGTAAGTGAGACATCAGAAGCGATACCATCGTTTATACCGTTCATAGATTATATCTACTTTATTTATGGCTTTTAATTCATGCGGTTCGAATTTAATTCCGGTCCATTTTCCAGCCTACGAGAACTGTCGATAGTGGTCGCTGCGGCAGCGACGGTGGCGCAGCCACCGGTCATTACGTAACGAAATAATAATGATGTATTATCCACGAGTTACAATAGATACCGAACGGGAGGTTGAAAATTGCAGTGAAACACGCTTTTGTTATCATAATTAATGAACTTCATCGAGGTGCATAGTTCGTGGCAACTTTCATCTTCCGAATGACGAGCGACTGAGCTAGTTGGATGTACCCGCACGTGCATACCCTACGCCTGGCTACATTCGCGGAGAATTATTACGAAGTCCATCGTTGGAATATGGGCCACGGACCCGGGCTTTCGCAGCCCATCCTGGCAACCCTGAAATTTCCCCCGTTATCTTGCGCAGTTGTGTACAGACGAGAGCACGCTTTATTCCATTCACCCACCGACTTTCCACCAGGAAACTAACTTGACCCGGCCCATCGTTTCCGGTTTCTCGTTGTAGTTTGTAATGTGAGCTGAACCATGTTCCGGCATAATAATACACGCTAATTGAGATGGATCTTTGCGAGAAAATTAAAAATCGCGATACCAGTAGAAGTGAACGAGGAGGATGCTTCCGAGATGACGCTACGATCAATGATGGATCTGTGCGTAAAGAATGATATAGGATGCAGGGTCGCTTTTATGATAGTACACGTGAAATTGAAGGAAGTGTAAAAAATAATGGTGAATTTTATATGTATTATGACATACTGGTAGTGACTCATCGGCAGTTATGTAACTACTAATTACTAAGGCAAAAGAATTGGGAATGTCTGTGTAACAATTTAAAATGAATAGTTCGGCAACGTCTGACAAAACTACACACTTTCTCTCCTGATTTGTTGAATAAGAGTAGAAATTTCAGGCTAACAATGATGTAGTTAAATTCACTGAATCTGGTTCGCTGATGAACTCTGAAGTATAAAAAATTGATTTTGTTGATAAAGTTTGTGACATTCCTTGTTTCATGTTTCTTAATTTCATGGTGGAGTAGAGTGACAACGTTATTAAAATTAATTTTAAAAAACAAGATGATACAAATGGCTACAATATTAAAAATAAATATAAAAATAACCTTATTTGGTACTATACTATACATTCTGATATATTATTAATTTATTGGTAGTTATATTAGTAGTTGTGTGGGATTTTCAAAGAAATTTTTGTGGGAAAAATTGTCATGTTGAAATAGAATGTCTATCATTAACAATAGTTTTAAAAAGCAAGGTTATGCAAATGTCAGAGGCGTTAAAAATAAATATTTGTACACGGTATTCAAAATAACCATATTTACCAGCTGTTCTCATATAAATATGTATAACGCTGGATCAAATATTTTAAAAATAAATTAGAGATATTTTTAATATTCCACTTTCTAGACCCCTTTATAATGAAAAATTACGTAAATGCAGAATTATATTTCTGACTTTAATAAAAGCTATTGAGATTTATGTATGCATTCTGTCCTTGCATATTAATAATATTTATAATCTGAATATTTAAACCCCACTAAATGTGACTATAGAAATTTGCTGTCTATTTTAGAAGCTATTACTTTAGTGGTATTGTACTAGAAGTGTTCCATAAATAACATAGGAAGGTACATACAATGGGTCGAGATTCTTGATCGTTCGTTAGTCGAACAATTGTCCCACAAATTAAGCTGCTCAAACCGTTGACAGGTTCTTTCACCCTAGCTTTGCTTTCGGAAATGACTGTCACTCACAATAAAAGACAAGGCGCATGGAGCACTGCTATGCTATTTATGGTAGTGTGAGAGTCACGAGTATTTGAACAATGGATTGATAAATATAGCGTGTGAGACGGGCCACTTTTTTTTGACTCGAATCTATCACTTCCTTTCGTGTAGTTATCTAAAAGATAAGGTACACGAATTCTTCACACTCTTCTCACGAATATGAGCAGATTAAATTATTTATAAATGACGCGATCGTTCCGAATTACACTTTAGAATGATAAACTGTAGTTGACTCAGACATTTGTCATATTTTGCGGAAAACTTCAAACATTTATCTAAATACAACACGTAATACGAAGGAAATTTAATATTTCTCAATACCAAATTAAATTTTCTTTCTTCTAAAACTAAGATTAATTTGTTACTAAAAAAAATTAAATTCCTCTCTTGTTCCAGTCTTCAGGGAAACAAATTATCTATTTAAAATCAATACACCGTTTAAAAGGATACATTTTTATTAACAAAATTATTTATGCAATTGCACATCGAAAAAGCATTTTTATTATTGAAAAGGAATTGTTATTTTGAGATTTACTTGATATCTCCTATTGTTACCTCTAATCTGTGGTACATATAGAAGCGTGAATTGTCACGAGAAAACCTAATAAATCTCACAACTTTTATGCCTGATATATTACATGAGGCTTGCCAATCGATGAATAATTCATAACACTATCTTTCGCAGAAACACATCGGTGCACGGTCAATAACTAAATCTTATCATCCAGGTAATTACGATAAGATCGATAGGAAAGTAAGATAACGAAATTTATTGCAAAACACGTTCACGAGGGCACCCATCGATCTATATTAAAATCTCCTAACCTGTATTATTCACGTATAACTTTTTCATGCTCCTTGAATCTCACATTTCCCGACAAAACAAAGAAACAAAATGACGTTTCCTTCCCAGTTCACGATTTTCGTATCACCATGTGTCTGTCAGTTTTATCCCACATAATTAATTCACAACCCTAACCTCCAATTTGCATTATTAGCCAACACATCCCCCCCGACTCCTATGCTCCATAGAAACTTAATTAAACAGCGTGAAACAATCTTCAGAGTGTCAACTCACCTCTCGAATCATCCTGTCTTCATCCAACGACGTTGTCAGACTGCACAAAACGCGTACGAGGAACGCGATATCTTATCCAAACAAGCGACACTCGGTCGCGAGCGTGTTCGACGCGCGGTCGTCGATAGAAACGCGCGAGATACTTCCATTAGTCGGCGAAGGGGGCGAGAAAACGCAGTGGCGCGACTGATTTACGCGTGAAACACGTCTCGGTTCGATGACCTTGCGTTTTCTTTTTGCATTGGACGCGAACGCGCCAACGATCGAAATCTCACAGCGAGCCAGTCGGGTTTTTTCACCAGATACTTAACCTTCGGGTCCCGGATCGAGTTCCGTAACAGTGGGTTTTACCATTGGCTATACCATTGTGTTCCGTTGTTCGAGGCTTTTCCAAGCAGGTTACTCGGATTAAGTCGTGCGATGTTCCCGGGAGGAAAAAGGATATGGTTGGGGGAAGAAAACGAGTGGGACGTCTTATCGAGCGCCATTTTTCCAGCTTACGGTAATAAATGTAAATGCATAGTCTCCGGCACGGTACACTGATCGTACGATATTAAAGACGCAACGAGAGTGGTACATCTGGTGGAGAAACACGTAGATTACTCGCTGATAAAGGTCTCTATTTGCAACTTGCTTGTAGACGTCTCCATTCGCTTTCGGGTTGGTCTTGCACGCGTGTTGCTCCATCTTAGTTGTTATCGATCGGTAGATCGACCTTGGATTCCTTTTTCCTCTTGTTTTCTTCCTTTCCTCCACGACTTCCGCGATAGTAAACGAATCGTTAGGAAATAGATGTTTCGAGGTGGAAAACTTTCCCGCTGGAGTAGGGAAGGAGTTACGAGTTGTTTGCGGAAGCGGCGAGCGAAGAAGCTTCCCCTACTACTAGAGGACGCGATTACGCGGCGGTAAGGAAGTAAGAGGAGTGGGGGGAATGGGCCAAGGCGATTGCTAAAAATTACGCCGCGCACGCTTGCTTCTGTACACTCGAGATAAGCGCGTCGATCTAGCGTGAGATTGCGTCTTCTTGTTAGAATTTGTAACAGCTGCCCCCCTCTCCTCGCACTGGGCATCTGCTCCGTCTGTCTGTACGAGTCCAACCACCCGTCCTTTTCTTCTTTTTTTTTCCTTTCTTTTCTCCCCCTCCTACTTCCTGTCTGGACGAAACGAGTCGTTCGGAAACGATTAAACGTCTTTGAAGATAGACTGGTTAATCCAGCGTTATAAAGGACTTGTATATTTATTGAAGAATATATTTTCATTTTCTGAGCTGGTTCGTTGAGATGAATATAAAAATCGTGGACAAAAAAAGTTTGAATCAAAGAAACGATTAAAAAATATTTGAAGGAAATTTCGAGGACATTTCAAAGTATTTTCTAGAACGTTTCATTGATATACGATATATTTTTATAATTTTTACGATATTTCATTTTCATATTTTTCCCTTAATTCCTTTTACTGTAACTGATTATGAAAAATTGAGGATATTTTTTGAATAAGCATTTAATCCTAATTAACCTCTATATGTTTATTTCATGCAGAATAAAATTGTGAGAGCTTTGATAAATCTCGCGCGTATTGAAACATTTTAAGTATAATTTTAATAGCGCGACGCATGTAGCTTTCATACAGTTTGATATAAAATAATCATAGAGCAAGCTGAAATCGTCGTTATAGTACAAGGTGATAATATGTGATTACGTTAATTTTTCGGTGTCAAGCGAAAAAAAATTCTGACTAGTCGAAAACATTCTAAAGTAAAAATTGAGAATGTCGCTCTTCATCATATAAAATGGAACTACATATATAAACTTTAATAAATATATCGACTCTATAGTTTAGTGAATTCTTTTGAAAAATTTCATTTCAAAAGATTTCAAAAATATCACCGTACTATACTTCACCGGGCGATGATATTTATGACACCGTGCATATAAAAGAACAACTCTATCCGAATTCGGAGAATCAAAATAAAAAGGAAAACAAAAAAACCAGTATTATAGGAAACGATCCATCGATCGCCTATCGCGCGGTACAGTGACGCCCCTTCTATTCAAAACAATTTCTTTGCCGAAGTGAAAAGGGAACGGAGACGTGTATTCAAGATGATCGTGACAAATGGAACGGTTCGTGCAGGCCGGCGACGCTTGGCAAAAAGAAATAAGTTCCTCCGGCGGCAAGTGACGTTCGTGTCATAAATGATGTACGATCGAAACGGAGTCGCTGTTTATTTATCTGCAATCCACCACCCCCACCAGCGTCGCTAATGTTCCAGTCCGGCGCCGATTTCCCGATGTCCAACGGAGCGACGCGTGTTAGGCGTTTCGTTGACAACTGCTTGCCCGGTTGGTCCATGTCATCAGAAATATTTCGCATGGTGGTTGATAATTACGTGCTCTCGCGGTTTCCGCATGGCCAAATTTTTGGTCACGATGACAAAGTTGTCGCGCGGTTCGTCTCGCGTTGATTATCTTACTCAACTTGTTTTGCGTCTCGTGAACTCGATGTACGCGAATATACAAGGTGCATCAAAAGTCAGATACGTATTCTCCGAACCTAACTTATGATACAATGTTACGTGACCTGTAAATTGTACTTGTGTTATAGATTTTTGATAGATTTTAAATTTGCTTTTGTCTGGCTACATAGGACTGAGATTCAATTGATGGGAATAGATGGGATTGAAATAATTACTGTGTTGTTGTGATGCAAATAAATTCATCGAGCCAAAGTTTGACCCTCGTCTAATGATTTACAGGGAGTTTTAACTTCAACAAGGTAGCAGATAAGATGTGGAACTTTCTGTGTTATACTTGTACTACTAAGATGTGGTTTTTCTCTAAGTACTCGTTTTTTAAAGAAGCAGGCCTATGATTGCTGGAATTGTATGAAGATAATTAAGTTATTTCAACGAAAAGATAATTTTGTAATTTCTAATAAACAAATCAAGTAAATATTACACAGACCATAAATCTTTGCCCCCCCCCCCACCCCTCCCCCCACGATGTGAACAAATATGAAGGCACAAAAATGTATGCGTGGAAGGATCAAAATATAATATAATAAAAATGGGTTTAAATCTTATGTACCCTAAGTGTCGAAAAAGCAATTTGAAATATGTAAGAGGAACTAAGAAGCTGCAGTTCTGTTTAGGGCCATACGGTGGCGACTCGAAATTGCTTCCTCCTCTGTGGTATATTTAAAACGAATATCACGCAGTATACCATTTAGAATCTTCCATACAGTCCACACGTGTTACACTCATATATAAAATATCACTTCATAAATCACTTCTATACTCACAAATTCAAAACACTGATACAAAATGTAAACGTCAACATGACATCTACTGTGCAACAAGGCTGAGGACACAGGCTACACAATATAACAGAAAATAATTTACTAAAAAGAATAGAAAATAATATCTCCTATAAATATATAATCCAATGAAAAGAAGATCGTTATAACGATAACACAAAATGGTACACTACTAATGACATGAAACAATATTTTAAATACGCAAACGGAAGACCTCATAACCTCCAAATTTCGTAACGTTAGAGGTTGTGTTCTTACAGTTAGCTACAGTTTTTGAACGACGCTGTATAGTTCCACGGAATGAAGATTTACGCGAGAAAACGTGACGTTTCGACGCCGACGCGGTGTTACGTGTGTCTCTCGAGGACCGAGATTCATACTTCGGGTATCATAAACAAAAGTATCGGTGATGTTCAGTGCAGTCGACACGTCGGATCTCTCGCACAATCTGTCGGCGAAGATGCGTTCGAGCATGCATCATTGAACGGTACAGCGGAACCTGCGTCGTTTCGATACTTGTTTCGTCTCTACCGCGACAAAAAATGGCGGCGCTGTTATCGCGTTGGATAGCGAATGTCAAGTAGAATGTGGGATTTCACAGGAAATTTACGAGAACCGGAATAAGGGAAACGTCGCAAATTTTTGACACGTGTCATTTTTGCATATAAATATTTTACTGTCACGGAATCCCTCCCGAATTTCACGCGTTGAATTCAATTACGCTTTTACGAGTCTATAGCAGCCGGAATATGTAAAAATGCTCGAATATAGTGGCCTTTTCGGTCCGATATACGACAGTGACTGTAAGTTCGCGAGTGCACAAGGAAAAATATCGGTCGATGTTCAAGTGGCAAATCCAGCATGGCCATTAACCGTGGAAAACGTAATTTCGAACACAAGAAAACAGTGGGTGGAGTGGGTGGCGAAAGCTGCTCTGGAGATAACTATTACCGGTTGTGCTAAGGGTTCGTATAGAATTTAATGCGCGTGCTGTTTGTCAGAAAAGTGGAAGAGCTTCCTCAGGGGGCGTTCCCGTAGACTAAAATAAAAACTTCATTTTTTACTTTTTAAAGTTCCGGCAAGTTAGGTTTTAGAGGATCGTTCGTCACTGGGTTTACTTCCTGCGTCGCAGTTCAAATTGACGTAAAGTGTAACTTATGGATGCGGGAACTAAAGGAAAATATTACTGCGTATACAGTGTCCCAGTGGAATCTTTCAACGCAATTACCACCTGTTCTTATTTGTTATTCCAGAGATTGTTTCGAGTAGGATGTACTCTATTCCGAGGGCACTTTATGGAGGTAAGTTTTAGATTAGGTTTAGATGGAGTTAAGTGAATATATGAAGATGATATACTTTCATAGAAAGATGTATCGGAAAATGTATTGCCTTTTTAGATTTATAATTTCACCCATTTTACGGATAGTGAGAATTTTAATTAGCATATGATTGCATAATATTTAACAGGTCAGGTATACTGTTTTGTGTTTTTCACTATCTACCACAGAAATCTAATTACAATACAACATATCGAGAAAGGTGTGTAATCTATTTTGAGGTGAATTTAATCACTTGTAATCTTTCATAGTCATTTGAGGTTAGGTTTGGGTATCTTAATGTTTTTCTTCGCTTCTTCATTCATATACAGGAAGTATTCTTTAATACCATTATACGAAATTTTTCTTGTTCATTTATCTCGAAAATTGGTTTGCTTTTA